TTTTTTTTTTTTTTTTTTTTTTTGGCTCGTTTTTAAGCAAATTAATGATCTGGTTGTTGTTTTTATGATGCATAGCTGTATGCTTGTGTTGTTAGAAATCTTAGTCTTAAGCTTTAGTTAGATAGTCTAATGGAGTTTTTGGACTTAATGGGTCCCTAAATTTGATTTCTTTATGTAAAGGTACTTTCTGAGAAAGCTGAAGAAGGTGAAGAAGAGCAATGGTCAGGTTCTTGCTATCAATGAGGTATATGTTTGTATTGCTTTTACAGAATTCTCCGAATCCTTCTTGTTATGCTTACTGCCTGTGCCCTCCAAATTTTTGTTCTTATTGTACTGGACGAAGCACCTGTTTTAATGTGTTTTGATGTGTCTGTGCTTTTCAGTCTCACACGATTCTTCAAGTTTCTATATGTTATGCTTTGTATGTGTCCTCAATTTTTCGTTCTCATTTTAAATTATTGTGTTATGCTAGACGTGTATACCTGTTTTGACGTGCCTATGCTTTTCGAGATCAATGCCTTGTCATGGGTTTTAGATGAGCTAATTATGTTGTGATTGACTTCTGATTTCCCGCTTTGGACTCTAGAGCACTGACATTTCATATCTTTTATTGCAATTCTTAATGTTTCATTCTCTGCTATTACATTTTTTAATTAGTTTTTGTGTTTTGTCAAAGAGATTCTTTCTGCAGTGCCGAATAATATGCTTCGCATTTTTCTGTTGCATAAACTCCAGATGTTGTAAAATCATGTCAGACGTGATAAAAACCTTATCTTTTATCAATTTATCTCATAAATTATGGTTCGAGCCTTTCTTCTTTTTCCTCTTTCTACTTCTCTGCCGGTTAATCTTTTTTTTTTTCTGTTCTTTTTCCTTCGCACTCATCATGTGAAAAATGATTAAAAACTGGAAAGAAGGCATACTCTTTCTCTTCTGTTTCCCTCTATTGTGATTTTCTTTCTTTCTTCCCTTCTACTTTTTTTGTGTACTTGGTAATCATACACTGAGAGGTTAGCATATGAACCATTTGATCTCTCTACTTAATTATTTATTTATTTATTTTGATCAGATATTTGAGAAAAATCCAACCACAATCAAGAACTACGGCATCTGGTTAAGATACCAGAGTAGGACTGGCTATCACAACATGTACAAGGAGTACCGTGACACAACCCTCAATGGTGCAGTCGAGCAAATGTACACTGAGATGGCTTCTCGTCATAGGGTTCGTCACCATTGCATACAGATAATCAAAACGGCCACTATTCCTGCAAAGCTCTGCAAAAGGGAGAGCACCAAACAGTTTCACGATTCGAAAATCAAGTTTCCTTTGGTTTTCAGAAAGGTGAGGCCCCCGACCAGGAAGCTCAAGACCACTTACAAGGCGTCCAGGCCCAACCTGTTTATGTAATACCTCTTGGTATTTTTCGGTTCCTTTTACTGATTGATATGTTTCTTCCTGAGTATGATGTGAGGAAAAATCTATTTGCTTTTTGGACGATAATCTTTAGTCTTTGGGCCCTTGTTAGACTTTTTCATCTGCAGGATTATGAGTTTTTGAACTTTGGAGTTTGATCCATTTGTTTCTTACATCTTATGTTGAGGATTTTAAGCTCTCGTGTTAAAAATTTGTTTTCGTCTTATATTATATTACTGGTAAAGTGTGATCGATGTCATTTTTCTGTGTGCCTCTGCTGGATACAGTAAATTGATTTGGATTTATGAAGTTATCTCAATATTCATGCAAGGCTGATATATGTTAGGTAAGGCAAAGCAAGTGTCGCCTCGAAATATTTCTGTCACGAAACGATTAGAGAAACTTGGATGGAAAATTCATTAGAATGTGGATATTAGGGTTTTGAGGATAACTTCAAAACTATTCTTTTAATCGAAGTTCAACTTAAACACTTGGAGATCCTATTACAACTCAAAGATAAAGAATCTGGACTCAATCTACATGTACAGTTAGACTAATAGTCACCGGTCAGGCAATATCAAAGAGTTGAGAGAATTAAGATTACATTCCGGCACCAAACTTGACACGTTTGTTTACTGTAAAAACCGAAACATGATTTTTAGTTCCGACAATAATTCAAAATCCCAACTAGCTCATAACGTTTTTGTCACATGAAGTAAACCACATTGGTGTCCCTAAATATCATCAAGCTTCCTTTCTCATGCATTTTCTGCATAATAATCAAAAAACATTGATTTGCAATTAGCCTTTCTCTAGAAAAAATCAAGATTCATTGAATAAGACAGCATATATAAGGGAGTAACCAAGTATGTATATATATATGCAGTTGAACTAAGTGTAAAGATTACCTCCAAGAGAGACATAATCTCGGCACCCGAGTAAGGGACGGGAGCTCCAACGTTAACCACACTCTCGATATCAGCTATCGGCATTTGGTCCAAATGTTGTGCATGCCTATACTTCCCTAATGCTGCACTGAACGAGTCCAATCTACATGCCATAGAAAAATATAAAAAAATAAAAAAGAAAATAGGAGTGTTAGAAATGAATCCCATCAAAGATATTGAATGCGAAGTTGCTTTAGGTGCTGCTCGTTTAAGCACACATACCTTTCTTGTGATATGTTGACCTCACTTGATGGAGGTGCATCTACATCCATAGGTTCAGTTTCACTTTGCAAATGCATGGTACTCTTTTCGTATGAGCTTCACAGGCAATTTGGACTAATGGAGAAACCCCAACATATATCTGTTGTGTAAGCGTTTATTTTGATTGCTTTTTCGTCTGGTTTATTCGTTATTTATTCTTATATTTTCCTTACTCTGTTCTCTTGGGTGCTTTTAAGATTTCATCTTATTTTCATTTTTTCTTCTTTGTTTTGGCCATTCTGAATTTTCAGTGCCGTCGATCCTGGAGCTGTGGAAACTAACATTATGCGTGAAATTCCTCCATGCCTTTCACGGATGGCTTTATTGGGGTTGAAACTTTTGGGTCTTCTTCAGTCTTCTGAAATTGGCGTGCGCTCTTTAGTTGATGCGTCACTCGCCTCTCCTGTATGTGTTTAATGTTCTTCGGTTTTTTTTTTTTTTTTTCTTCGCTTAGACCATAATTTGGATTCCAATATTCCTCATCTGTTTATGGAATTACCCTTACAAATTGACCTTAATGCAATAACTATTCCTCCATTAAGAGTGCAATTTGTAAAACAGGAAAACGAATATGAAGTGAGAATTATGTTTTATTTTCCCACCTTTCGAATAGTTGGACCATAGTGCGAAGGTGTTATATATCCTGTAGTAATATGCCTTTAGTGTTACTACACCTTTAGTTACACGGTCACGTTAGTGAGTAAAATGAAACTACGAATCTGCAAGTTACAAACCAATTTGATCAACTTTCCTAGCCAAGCCTTGCCTGGATTATTACGCATTTATTTACTAGAATCTTGCTTGCTTATTTCAAAACATTATTTTCTTACAGGAAGTATCAGGTGTTTACTTTTTCGGAGGAAACGGTAGATGTCTGCAATCTTCTAGGCTTTCTTACAACTCCAGGCTTGCTAAGGATCTCTGGGCTACCTCGTGCGATCTTTTCCAAGAATTGGTGCTAAACTTTTGAAGCTTATGCTTAACACAGTAGATGACATTTTATGAAATTTGGTCGATCGTTTGAGAAATCATTTTCGACTGTGAAAGAGTAAGCCAAATTCCTCGAACTTGATCACATTTTCAATGCACAGACAGTTAGAATTGTGTATTTTGGCTCCAATTTATGGTTGTGATGAATTGTGGCAGGGATTGCGCTTGAAAGGTTGATTGAAATAAACATTCACTTCTAAAGAGTGGAGTGGTGAACATTACTCAATAGTTTATGTGCAAATAATGATTGGGAACTTAATAGATTTAAATCAAATCATTAATACTTAATTTTCCATTCATTAGTTGTTTCTGATAATTTGTACAGAAACAAATTTAAATTTTTTTTGTGTTCTTGGGGTTGTGCTATTGATATGGGAGGGGCCTGTTTTACTTTATTTTGAATATTGTGGAACTTTTGTCGAATATGTATGCAATACAGATCGACCAACCTAACAGTTAGGCTGAATCTGTGATTATGAATTGACGACATGATACAAAGGTTCGATTACTTTTGAAAGCAAAAGTGAACATGAACAAACGGCAAGAGAAAGCATCACAAACCGAACAAATTAAAAATCTTTTTGCATCATCAAAGGCAAATATGATCCCACAAACCATAAATAAACTCTGGCACAGCTTCTCAAAAGACACGAAGAGTCCATAAAACCAAAGAAAAACAAAATATGATAATCAAAGCTTAAAACCTACTAACATCATACGCAGGGTCTCTTCATAAAACCAAAGAAAAACAAAAAATGATAATCAAAGCTTAAAACCTACTAACATCATACGCAGAGTCACCGCACAACGGGCACTTTTCGTTATTCTCCAACCACACCCAAACACAACGGGTATGAAAAGCATGGCCACAACTAGGGAGCACAGTTATTTGAGCACCTATGGTCGTAGCCCTAGAGCAAATATGACAAGCAGGCATAAGAGCCAACCCCTCGTCAACATTTTCAACTCTTATCTTGCCCAGTTTCCACAAAAAGTACAACCAGCGCATCCCATACTCCCTCAGCTTGTACTGCTTTGGTGTCTCCGTGGTCCACAGGTACAAGGGCACCAAGTACTGGGCCCTGATCGCCCGGCCCATAGCAGCCTCAACGGACTCGCTGTCTTGTTGGACAGTGCAGACCTCAATGCCCACCACGATCGGTATTTTATCCAGGGCCGCGTTTTGAGGTACAGCCGCTGCCTCTCGGGTGAAATCTAGGGCCTGGCCGAGCATAAGCTTGATTTCGTCCCGAGTCATCCAGTAATCTTTCAGCCTCTGAAATGTCAAGAAATAAAGACCAACCGCCTCTTTCTCTGCATCTCCAATCTCATGCACCATTACATCGAAGCTCTCTGAGTCCAAGATTATCGTTTGGTCTGGATTAGGATTGGGGTTAGGCCTCATGACGAAGTTTGTCCTAAACTCGAAGAGAAAATCTTTGGAGCCATCTTTTGTTACGGCCGATTTGTGCTGGGAATTAATCTCGTCCAAGCTCACCATCGACAACTGCCAGCGATATTCGTATCCAGCTTGACTACCCATCTGCACAAATATCATTCTCAATCAAATTACAAAACAAAATATTACCGCGATTTAAGAACAAGGTACAATTACAATGAATAAATACTATTATTATGCATATCAAGCAACCGAAAATCAAAAAGAAAAGCATAAATAAAAAAA